TTTTGCCGCAGGAAGCAGTGTTTTCAAGTGAACATTTTTAGAAACCACTTCTTAGGGACTTCAGCTTCCCTAAGAATATTTTTGCACACTGCACAGGGCCCAACCCTAAGGCCGCCCCCTCTGCCAGTTGCCTGAAATCAGCTCTGAAATTTTGAAACAAAAGAGCTGCTTCCTGGGAACAAGTGATTTGTTTTTTAACTGAGGATGTATATCCTTTTATGGATCTTTCCAAATTTGATTTGTAAAACTACAAGCGGAAACAAGAAAAAAAATAGACTTACAGAAAGTACAAGCTATTTTATTAACAGGAAAGCCAGACTTTTAAATATATTTTGAATGAGACTGCTGTATTCTAACAGGTCATTTCTAAGAACATGAGACTGAATGTGTCATTTAGGAATGATAGAAAAATCATGAACTGAAAGCTAATTCCAAAAAAGTTAAAATGTCACATTATATTCGCAGCATGTAAAAGAGATTTTGTTTTCATCAAAAATAACAGTTTTGTATTAGTAGAAAATCTGTTCTTTCTGTGTACATGGAACAGGCTGTGGCATATTTAAAGAGTATAGTTTGAAGGTACAAAATCTTGAGCCTTCCGGCTCTTATATCTGCATCTACCTGTGAGTGGGTGCTTCTCCCAGGTCCTGCCTGTTGAGGTGAGCTTTGGTCTGTAACAATATCCAGACGGACTGCCCTTGCCATGTGCCTACCACAGGAAGGATCAGAGAGAGGGGCTTGAGGCTGGAGGAGTGTTACAGGAAGAGGGAAGGTGCTGGGAGGAGTCAGGCTGATGGAGAGGGATGGGGTGGGATGACACTGGGGAGGAGGAGAGGGCTCTGCCTGGGGAAAGGAGCTCCTGGGACCATGTGCGGGTAACCCCAGACACTCAGCCCCCATGCAGGGCCTTCACAGAGGCATATGGAAGGGAGCTGGTTGCAGGGAACCCTGGAGACTGGGTAAATAAACTGTCGCAGGTGTGTTCTCCACAAGTGAGCTCAGAGGCATGAATAACGGTCATGACCGTTAGGCATGAGCACCTGTGGGGAAGAAGATGGAAGCAGGACTGGGTATAGGAAGAAGTTCAACTATGAGGCAAAGCCTTAGTACTCCGCCCTTTACTCGGAGTGCTGCCTCTCTGAAAGTGTTTGGTCTCAGGCAAAACAGGTCTCTGCAGCTGAAGGGGCCCTGAAGTCCTTCCTTGAAAAGGGATCTGGGCAGTGCACTTCCAAAGGAACTTGTCAGGGTCCTCTTCCCTGAGGAGCCTGGACTGGTCAGAGGTGGGTCCAGATACAAAGAAATTCCCAGGCTCGGGAGCCCTCAGTGAGGAGAGATGGCTGTGAAAGTTTTCAGTGGGGAGAAGACGGGGTTTCATCCTCCGCTCCTCATAAGCAGTCAGCTCTTCTCCAGGTCAGGCACCCTTTGGCTTGAGTCCAGTCCCAGAATCCTGACCAATAGCCCTACCCCAGTTCTGTGTGCTCATGACCCCCACCGGGTCAGCGCAGTGAAGGTCTTGGGGTTTGGTTAACAGGACTGTGGAAACAAAGCAATGGCGAGGAGAGCCGGGCCTCCCTCTTGCAGGGGATGGGCAGTCTGAGGAATCTTTATTTGCTCACTTGCTCATTCATTCACTTATCTACCCACCCACCCGTCCGTCCACTTACCTGTGCACTCATCCACCCATCCATCCATCTACTCGCCCCCACCCCCACTCCACTTATCTACCCATCCATCATCCATCCATTTACTTATGCACCCACCCACCCATCCATCCACTCATCCATCCATCTGTTCACTCTACCTACCCACACACCCATCCATCTACCCACTTACCATCTACCTACCAACCCACCCACTCACCCATCTGTCAATCCACCCAAACAGCTCACTGAATCTTACTTCCTCGCTTACTCCTGCATTTATTCATTAATTTCATCACTCAGTCGTTTACTCCTCCATTCAGTGAACACTGATTGAGCACGGACTATATGCCAGTCCCTGCCTAGAGAAGGTGGGAGTCAACAGTTTGTTATGATTTGGATGAAAAAATATCCCCTGAAGGACTCACTCATGCATTCATAGGTAGGGCTTTTGGAAGGTGACTGAGTCAAGGAGGTGATATAACTGACTTGCTGTTAGGAGGTTATCACGCGTATGACCTGGAAGGGAACATCTCCTTTCCTGGTTGCTCCCTCCTCTCTCTGCTTCCTGGCTCCAGGAGATGAGCAGCCTCCTCCCAGACCCTTCTACCATGCTGTTCTGCCTTGGAGTCTGCTGATCACAGGCTGTACCCATGAGCCCAAATAAAGCTCTCCTCCTTTAGGAGTGGGTGTCAGTGTGTCCCAGCAAAGAGAAGATGGCTAAGACAGACATGGTCGCAGCACTCAGTAAACTCCTGGATAAGGCAGCTGATAACATACTGTTAGTATTCAGGGGAAGGGGAGCTGAGAGACACAGGAAAGCCTCAGAGGAGGAGTCCCATGAACTGGACTGGAAGGAGAGAATTCAACACATACGCTGGCTGAGAGAACAGGAGAGGGCAGGGAATCACCAGCTCAGCCTGGCCAGCAACAGCCAGTACCCGAGGGAAACACTATTTGCTGCATTTGGCCGCATATTTCTAGGCAGTGGGCTGTGTAAGCTACACAGGAACTGCCGTACTTGCTGGCTGGCTGGGAAAGAGTAGAGTCCAGGCACACACAAGAGCATTGCTGCCATAGGCTATGCTGCAGGGCAGAGGTGGGCCTCGCAACAGGAGCTGAAGACAAGGTCCTTGGAAGATCCTTGAGGGACAGGCCCATGTAGAGATGGGCCAGAGGGGCAAGAAGAGCAGTCCTAGGAGAGCTGGGGGTTCGAGAAGAGAAGACGGTCCGGATCGACACTGTGGCACACCACAGCTGACAAGGGAGGGCTAAAGAGGAACAGCTAGAGAAGGGACAGGAAGTTGGGAGCATGTGGAACAGAGAACCAGGTGAGAGGGTGCCAGATTTAGCAAGGAAAAATATAGGACACCCAGTAAAATTGAAGTCTCAGTCAGATGATGAATAATGGTTTTGGGGTTTTTTTTGTTTGGTTTCTTTTGGCGGGTACTGGAGATTGAACTTGTGCTTGTGAGGCAGGCGGCAGCCCCACTGAGCTAAATCTCTGGCTGATGATGAATAATTTTTAGCACAGATATACCATGTGATATTTGGGATGCATACTGAAACATTATTCATAGTCTACATAAAATTGAAGTCTCAATGGGCACCCTGCATTTTATCTGGCAACTCCAGGGGGAGAGAGTGGTTCTGAGAGGCTGGGTGAACCACAGAAGGGCTGGTGAAGGTGAACATGCTGAAGAGGTCCTTGGACTTGCTCTTTTTGTACCAGGAATTGAACTCAGGACTTTGTGCTTGCCAGGTGGCGGGGCACCAATGAGCTATATCCACGGCCCAGGTCCCTGTACTTTGACAACATGGGGGTTGACAATGACCTCAGTGAGTGCAGTGAAGTGAACAGGCATTTACGGGTGTGTATTTGTGATGTAGGTGGGGTGCAGTGTGTAATATTTATTGTGTGGCGTATGTGGTATGTGTGATGTTTCTGTGTATGTGGAGTGGTGTGTGTGGTATGTGATTGTGTGTGATGAGTGTGAGGTGTGTGTTGTGTATGTGTGGTGCATGAGTGCATGCAGCGTATGAGTGTGTGTGGTGCATGTGTTCTTTGTGTGTATGCCTTGTGCGTGGTGTATATGATGTGTCTGTGTATGTGGCATGGTGTGAGTGCAAGATGTGTGTGTGTGTTGTGTTTGTGTGTCACTGTGTAAGCAGTGTAGTGGGTAGGTTGTGTGTGTTGTGTAATGTATGTGTGGTGCATGTGTTTGTGGTGCACCATTCTCCCTAATGCAGCCCCCCGTGTAAGAAGAGGGAGGGGCCTAGTACCAGGCCAGCAGGAAGTCCTGCTCTGTAAGAGAGGCCTCTTTTCCCTAATTCCAAAGAAGGGAGGTGGCAGTGCAAGGTCAAGTCAGGCTGGCACCAAAATACTGGCAAGGCCAGGAGTGTTTACCTGGTGGCAGTGAGGGAAGCAGATGTTCAAGGTCACCCCGGAAGTCTGGGGCAGAGCAGTTCTTGAACCAGTCCTCCCTGTTCCAGATCTAGCATTCTCTCCATCTGTTCTCGCACTATTGCAGGCACTATACTTCCTATGCGTATTATCCTCTTGGTGCTCACAGAAACCCCATAATCTCCATTTACAAGTGTGGGAACGGAGCCATCTCACAGGGAGCCTCTTTGGGCCAATGCGGAACCCGCTGGAGCAAAGCGGAGCTGGTGACCTCCTCTGCACCTGGCGTCTGCGCCCAGCAAGCTCTCAGCAGAACACATTCATCTCTGCAGGGGGAAGGGAAGCCAGGGTTCTGAGTGCCCCCGGTTTACCTGAGCCAAACTCTCGCTGACACCTAGCCCTCTTAGCTCTCTGACTTTGAAGAACGGGTCTTTGCCATCTGCAGTTCCCACAGGCAGCCCAGGAAGCCTGTGCAGAGGAATGTCCTGCTGAGGACCGACAGACTCCATTCCGAGGGTGCACACTGACGTGTCCTAAGGCTTCGTACTTTCAGAGGTCAGCCTGCGCCCCTCCTGGCACCGATCGTGCGTCCCTTCACCCTGGGGGCTTCCTTCTCACCTCACCCTTAGGCCAAGAGCAGGGAGACCCAGTCAATTCCATCCCAGCCCCACTGGGGACAGTGGAGTGGCCCTGGTCCTCCCCCTGACTTGCGGCACCTCAGTTTTCTGGTTGTTCAGTGGAGAAGAGCATCCCCGTCTTGCCTTGGATGTGTGAGAGAGATCTTTGAAACCCAGTTCCTTCAAACCCAGGGCCGGGGGAAGAGGCAGCTCCACCTTGCTCTTTCTCCACATTCCCTGGTTCTGAAACCTGGGTAGTATTTCTCTCTGGGACAGGCTGGATTCTGGAATTGGCAGGCCTTGGAATAACATGTTTTC